AACACTATAAGAACTCTATTTTCACAACTCACTATATTGGGTTAGCAAATAAAGAAAAATAAACGTGCAGAGTTTCTACTTCAAAGTCTATCTAGTCTTCAATGATGTTGCAGCCGCTATCTTGGAAGAAGAAAATAGGCATAAAAACAAAGAAGATAGAAATAGTTCAAACCAAGTAGAGGCGTTGTTGGTGTCAAGAGGAAGATCAATGGAGTGTGGCTCCAATAGGAGTCAAAGGCAAGGGAGGTCCAAATTAAAAAGTAAAAAGACTATGAAATGCTACAACTGTAGCAAAAAAGGGCTCTTTAAAAAGGATTGTTGGTTTAAAAAGGGTATAGAGAATACTACAAAGTTATCAAAACTTCAAGGATGTGTTGGAAGCGCATCAGAAGATGGAGAGGTTTTATATAGTAAAGCACCAATAGTCTTTATAGATAGTGATCTTGTTGTAATGGGCAACCTGCCCAAGTAAAAAATGCAAAGATTTTTCAAAGTGGTGAAAAATGCAAAGATTTTTCAAATGGTCTTGTTGTAATGAGCGACTTGCTTAGATGAAAAATGAAATTTCTTTTCAAAGTGATAAGAAATGTAAAGATTTCTTAAAATGGTTTCATTGTAATGGGTAATTGACCTAAATGAAAGATGAATAGAGTTCTCAAAGAGGTCTGATTATGATGGGTGACCTACCCAAGTGGAAAAAAATGAAATATCTTGAAGGAACGACATGATAGGGCTTGAAGACGCACTATTCAAAAGATGAAAGCCCAAAGGAGTGTTTAAAAAAAGATAGGACTCGAAGGGGAACAAGGGCTGAAAAGTGCAATCAATAGGAAGTAGGGTTATAAAACACGCTACCTGAGAGGTGAGGGCTCAAAGGCATATTCCAAAGGAGGATGGGTTTGAACATGCACTACCCAAGAGTGAGGGCTCAAAAGCGCACTTGAAAAGAGGTAGGGTTATAAAACACATTACCCAAAAGGTGAGGCCTTAAAGGCGCACTAAAAAAGAGGTAAAGTTAGAAAATGCACTACCTAAGGTGGTTGAGGGCTTAGAGGCGTACACAAATGGAGGCAAGGTTAGAAAACACACTACCCAAAATGGTTGAGGGCTCAAAGGCGCACTTAAAAAGAGGTAGGGTTAGAAAACGTAGTACCTAAAATGGTTGAAGGCTCACAAACGCACTTAAAAAGCAAAGAGGTAGGGCTATATAGTGCATTAACTGAGATGGTGGTTTGCTTTAACATGCACTTAAAGGTAGGCTATAAAGCATGAAACTTAAGATGGTGGAGGGCTTAAAGGTTCACTCAAAGTGAAAAAGGTAGGGCTATATAACGCATTAGCTAAAATGGTTGAGGGCTTAACAGCCCACTCAAAAAGAGGTGATGATGAGACACCAATCTGTCAAGGATAAAAGTAATGTATCATGATTAATATGCATGTATACTTGAGAAATATAGGTCCCCTTTTCTTCATGGAGTTGTTCTTTTCTCTAAAGTTTGAGTCTCTGATAGTAAGCTTTGATGGCTCTTTCGCTCTTGCTTACTCGAGTCATATCTTATGATCTTGACCTTTAAAAAGGATCAGCATACTTGTTTGCTCACAAACCTTTATCTAAAGGGTTGCTAACTCTACATTATTCTTAATGTTTGTTCAAAACAAACTTGTTTTGAAAAAATACAAGCGATTCTTATGGATAAGTTTGCATCAATGTTGAAAAATTTTGTTTTGCTTTTGGTGAAGTGTTTAGTCAAAAAGGTTCAAACTTCAATTTGAGGGTTTTAAAGAACAAGTTTTCAAAGCATTCATTTTACTTGCATGAATAATGAATGCCTTCAATCAGAAAGAGCTTAATTGGGCATGTAATATAGGCTTTAGTTCTTGGTTATGAAGAAAATAATATTTATAGTCTCAAAAGGTATTTAAGGGACTTTAAAACTAAGGATCACTGATGTTTATATCCTAAACATTTTTTTGGTTCATACATTTCTGGACCTTGGAATTGATTTGTAAAATAGTCGACGGTGCCCCCTAATGTTGAGCTTTTTTCTTCTTTTGGTTTTAAGCATCATTATATTTGTAATTTTTTTGACATGCTAATTTTTTTTTAACTCTTTCATGCCCCCTAGTATTGTTTGGACACTTTTATCATTGAGAACTTTTTTATACCCCCTAGGATAGTTTGGGCACTTTTAAACATTAAGGATTATTTGCACTTGCATCCTAGTGTAGGGTATGATCCGAGCCAAGGTTATTTTTTCAAGAAAAAGTTATTAGTCTCAAAAAGGGACTGCAGGAGATTTTTAGCATTATGAAATGATGATCAAAGATGACCTTTCTTTATTTCAAATCCATGTGACACGACTAAAAGATTGATGTCTTCTCCCAAGTGCAGGAGTGTCGAAGTAATAAATAACCCGGCAAGACCGGGGTCGAACCACAAGGAGGTTATTTGTACAAATTATAAATAAAAAAAATACAACAACAATAA